TTAGATTCGATCAATTAAACACTTAAGATATCAAGTGCATGAAAGAATTTTCGAATAAAATTTGATGGATATAGCCCCGCGGGAAAAACCGCAAACAGACCAGACAACTATCTATTTGCAAACAATTTATTAAAAAAGTGAACATGAAATAGTTGTACAAAAGCTTGAGTGGGTTGAAAATTTGATACAAAATTCGCTTTCTCGTGTGATTAATTAAATCTTATAGCTCATATTTCGGTTTAGATATAATTCAATTTAACGACCATTTTATGTAATCTATTCACTACATACAGTAACAATGATAAAGTCAACAAACAATGGATTTTCGTATTTCAATTTTCTTCATGTCATTCTTTAAATTCCTTGCTCTATTCCGTCAAACTTTTCCTTTGCATGACCGGCAGCCATTGACGCAAGACGTTTTCATACTCTTCCACTTATCGGGGTGACGTCTGAAGTAAAACGCTGATCCACCAATTACAATCACTATGATGATACACGTGACCACTATCCCAGCTATAGCTGCTTTGTCAGGCATGGTGCGAGCCACATAGATCCCTCCTGAAAATGGTCAAAATAAGATTTTTTCCGTCAGGAAATATTTACAATTAATCACTACAGCTTTATGGCAATCAAAGACAATTCTTACGGTATCAGTCGCACAAAATGATCTCCCCCACACCTAAAACTGGTTTTAATGCAGCTACCTTGAATAACCCGATGACGGTCTAGCACCAATCGTAATATCTTGGAAAAAAAAGTTTAATAATCCGAACGCGCCACTGAGAGGGTGATTCGAGTCTACGAGTTTCTACGTGCAAACACCTTCCAGAAACGTTTGTTGCCAAATCAGTAATTTCCTAGCCGCGTCACTGAAATTATCAATCATTAAATCTTCACTTTCAAAGGAGATAAAGACCGACTGCCGAATTTCTTAACAACACTGGAGAAGATGCAATACTGCCAAAGGCATTATTGTGATTTTCGGTGTGAGAAAAATGAACACATGCATAATTACCTTTATCAGTTTTCACAGTGGCGAAGCCATCCGAAACGGAAGAATCCACTTTGAACCAAGTTTTCAAGTCCATGTCCTCCGAGGAGCGATAAAATTGTATTGTGGACGCCGCGCTGGAGTCCACATTCATTCCAATCTGAAACTTCTTGTCTGTCTCTAACGTCTGTGGGTTCACAACTAAAAAGTCGCTGGCGTACCCATGGCCAATTCCCATCCTACCTCCTTTGTCATCGATCATTTTCTGGCCATCCTCCGCGGACATTAGCTCCAAGCTGATGGACTGTAGCTGCGGTAGAGACTCCGATTCAAATTTCACGAACTGGCCACTTAAAGAATAAAAATACCAAAAAAAAAGTAAATAAATAAATAAAAATAAATAAATAAATAAGAGTGGTGTTGCGTCACAAATTAAATAACAGCAAGTGAAACGCGGACATTTTTCCAGTTGTGTCACGCTTTCTAAATCTTAAGGCTAAGGGGCTGGCAGCGCAAACATTCACGTGCACGCCAACATGGCGAAATAAAAATACGTCATCTTCGGACGTCAATGAAAATTGCTGGCTCAGTTTGTTCCCGGGGGGGACTAGAACTCAACTACTACTTAATACCCCGCGACGACTAATTAATAATTAGATTATGAGCTCGAGATTTCTATGAGGTGATAGTTGATGAGGCCGAAGCAACAATCTAATTGTTTTAGTACTGTTTTAGTAGAATTCTTTGGCTCAGCCAATCAGATTACAGCATTTGTATTAGTTTACTAGTAGAATTCTACTAAACGACGTCATTAGTTTCTCATGGGCAAAATTGAGCAGCATTTTAATTTCCAGTGCGCGTTTTTCGAGACCAAATTAACGTAAACCACCTGCTAACGTTTTTGGTACTCACCCATTAAAAGAAAGAGTTCCGCCATTTCTGCCGATCTTCCTGGAAATCCGCTCGGTATTTGAAATGATAAGTCTGCCTTTCTGACTGCGATTGGAGAAGTTATTGTTTCTGGTACTCATGTAGTAATACGTTCCAATCCCGGTCACTTTTTTGGGTCCCAGATCGAAGTATGTGCCAGCGTCATCAAGTTCTGACATTTCGCCACCATACTGCCCTGTTGATTCAAAAGGTGTGAACCACGGAATCAATCACGGCTTATGGCGGGAAAATGTCGACAAAGAGCCAATCAGAACTCATAGCAACAATAACGCGGAGGGCATGCGCGGGGAAAGTTGTTTATGCCAACCAATTCAAAACGAGTTTTCGTCTTGCATCTGATTGGCGAAGAATTCAACATCCCCTCCCTGATTGGTAAAAGCAGGTTGGTTGTTGTCTGAAAACTTTTAATAGAGCGCAGCAAATTAAGGAACGGGTAAACAATTTGCGTAAAATAAACTGCTCACAGAGCTGTTTTGAACTCGCAAGGAGTTCTGCGAAAAGCGAGCGAAGGGCAATCAGTGTATGCTTTAAGTTCCGCTTAGTTAATGTAAAATCGTTGAGCCATTACTTACTGTTATCCAGCAATGCCAGGTTATGCAAACTATTCCTTTCCAGTCCTAAAAAGTTAGTACCGTCCAGAAGTGACGGGTAATTCCTGTCCCATTCATTGCTCTTCAAAAGCACCACGTTTGATCGGTCAGTACCGGCTTTTCCTTGGCCATCGTTAATATTTGGATTTGTGTTTGAACCGGTCCATCTGGAGATGAGAGAAATATTGGATCAATATTGGTACTAACATTGAGCAACATAGTTTGTACTAATAACGATGTTGATGTAACAGTGGCCATAAATATCGCGTAACAGTGATATAAAACAATGTTGCCAACATTTGCGGATACAAGGGGCAAAACTTCGATTGATAAACATTCAATAATGGTGTACATTAAGTCGATATTGATGTCAATATAAATTAACTGCTAGGGGTAAAAAAAAAATCCAGTGGGGAGGAGAAACACTTTTAACTGCCCTTACCTGAGTTAAGCGCGCCTGAAAACCCAGTTAAACTATGAGAAAGACTTTCCTTTTAATTATTGTTCACAGGGTTCGTACCCTTTTTCAGAAACAAATTTCCAGGACTTTTCCAGGACTTTTCCTGGACTCAGATTGATTTTTCCAGGACTCTAAAATTCACATTAACCCTTTCACTCCCATTATTTTAATGTTAATTCTCCTTACTGTCTGCCATACATTTCATGTTTTTTTTACTTGACTTTAACAGATTTCCAGAACTTTCCAGGACCACTAGCCCTTTTCCAGGACTTTCCAGTCCTGGAAAATGCCACAATAAAATTCCAGGACTTTCCAGGTTTTCCAGGACCCGTGCGAGCCCTGTGTTCAATGTAGACTACAAAACAATCTCAAATTTTCTTAGCGTTCGGAGCGCGACCTCAGGTTATCCTGGTATCTGTAGCATGAAGCGGCTAGGAGACGGTATTTCTACTCCCCCTGGACGGAATGCTGGTCCATCGCAGGTCACTCCCCCGCAATTTGTTAGGTTTCCCCCACAATTCACCAGTATCCATTTATACTCCCGGGTGGAGAGAGGCACTGTGAGAGTCAAGTGTCTTGTCCAAGAACACAACACAGTGTCCCCAGCCAGGGCTGGAAACCGGACCGCTCGATCCGGAGACGAGCGCACTAACCATGAGGCCAACGCGCCTCCCTGAACTTACTGGAAATGTATGTAGTCACCATCCTTGACGAACATGGAGTTAGGTACAAAGTCGTACTCCACACCCGGGTACACTTGAACGATGTTACCACGCTTTCCACGAACATTCAGATTGTGGACCTTAACACCCTGCAGGTCGGATGGTCGAGAGCGAACTGCAAAGGTGTGGGATCTAAAGAAATGAAATCAAAATTGACTTAAATGCACACTAAAAAAGAAAACGTGACGCATATCAAGAGTAAGATGTTGTTGTTGTTATTGTTAAGGCAACGTCCACACTAGCTACGCCGGAGAAATTTGAAAACGCAGCTTTGTTTCTATGGCTAGGCCCACCGTCCACACTAGTCTGTCACGAAAACGAAGCTTTTAATTTCGAAAACGCACTTCAAACCGCAGGAATTTAAAAACGCCGGCTTTGCGTTTCCGTGTGGAAGGAAAACATTTTTAAAACGAAGCTTTTCGAAAACGATGACGTCACGATGATCATGTGATTTCCCTGCTCGAGTTTTCCTCAAACACAAACACAAAATGAACGGTGATTGTTACGTTTTTAGTGCAGAGTGCACTATTGGGATGGTTATGGGAGCTGCCTGCCGCTAAGGAACTAAGGCAATATGGCGCTAAGGTGTAAACTTTAATGTTTGTTTAATTAATTAATTTCAATTAATTAATTAGTCTAGGGGCAAGGAAGTAGTGGGGGTAGGGTGGGAA